TTATCCTCATGTCCGCCAAATTTCATTTGTTTTTGTTCAACACTTACAGCACTAATATGTGAAATCTTTCTTTGTTTATTTGATTCACGGTTTGCTTTGACTTTGTGAGATCGACTGTGTGATTTATCCTCATGTCCGCCTAATTTCATTTGTTTTTGTTCAACACGTACAGCACTAATATGTGAAATCTTTCTTTGTTTATTTGATTCACGGTTTGCTTTGACTTTGTGAGATCGACTGTGTGATTTATCCTCATGTCCGCCTAATTTCATTTGTTTTTGTTCAACACGTACAGCACTAATATGTGAAATCTCTCTTTGTTTATTTGATTCACGGTCGGCCTTGACTTTGTGAGATCGACTGTGTGATTTATCCTCATGTCCGCCCAATTTCATTTGTTTTTGTTCAACACGTACACCACTAATATGTGAAATCTCTCTTTGTTTATTTGATTCACGGTGAGCTTTGACTTTGTGAGATCGACTGTGTGATTTATCCTCATGTCCGCCCAATTTCATTTGTTTTTGTTCAACACGGACTTTACTGATATGTGAAATCTCTCTTTGTTTATTTGATTCACGGTCGGCTTTGACTTTGTGTGATAAACTGTGTGATTTATCCTCATGTCCACCCAATTTCATTTGTTTTTGTTCAACACGTACAGCACTAATATGTGAAATCTCTCTTTGTTTATTTGATTCACGGTGAGCTTTGACTTTGTGAGATCGACTGTGTGATTTATCCTCATGTCCACCCAATTTCATTTGTTTTTGTTCAACACGGACAGCACTAGTATGTGAAATCTCTCTTTGTTTATTTGATTCACGGTCGGCTTTGACTTTGTGAGATCGACTGTGTGATTTATCTTCATGTCCGATTGTTCCTCCCAATTTCATTTGTTTTTGTTCAACACGGACTTTACTGATATGTGAAATCTCTCTTTGTTTAATTGATTCACGGTTGGCTTTGACTTTGTGAGATCCTGTGTGTGATTTATCATCATTTCCGATTGTTACTCCCAATTTCATTTGTTTTTGTTCAACACGTACAGCACTAATATGTGAATCCTCACGTTTTTTGCCGGATCCACCAGCTATCTTGACTTGTGAGACGCCAGCATTGAACGTCTTTGTTCTGGAAGATCCACTATGTGATTTGTCACCACTGGTTGGAGAGTTCTGTCTAGGAGCCTGTGGTACGGTCTTCGCATGCTTGAAAGCATCATGCGAAGATGAAACATGGGTCAAAGATGCCCCTGTATTATGAACAGCACTTTTACGCTGAATATGTTGCTTAGAGGATGTCCCTGTATTTAATTTACTGATCTGCTGAGCAGATGAATAGTGTGTCTGCTGGGAGCTTTGTCTGTTCACCGAAGAGGATTGTCTGGTGCCAGAGGAAGCACGGAGACTTGCAGTACTTCTAGAGCTGGATGAAGACGACGTGTGGCCTTCAGTCGTGTGAGACTGAAGATACGCTGCAGCCACCAAGGCTAACAGCCAAGCAACTCGCATGGCTAAAGCGGTTCCAAATCTCTTTTCTGTAGTAGAGTTCGCACACTTGTGGCCGATGAATGGAAAAAAAAATATCTGCGAGCAGAGGTACGATCCTTCTGCTGGGTTTCGCAGACGGGGAAAATGAAAACGATCTTTTATAGCGGCATTTGTTTTCTTCCAGTTGCTTTTTAAAAAATGTTTTGAGTTTTGTAAAGTTAAAAATTGTACATACTTGATTTCAGATTAAACATTGCAAAAACAGGCCTTATTGATAATGTCTTAATTTTAAAATGTGCTTTGTTTGCAAGAATTTCTACCCCGCCTTGTTAGCATCTACTCCCTTTCATGGACATGGAGCTTATACCCTACACAACCCCTTCCCACCACTTATTCCAGGTACAATAAATACAACACAACATGCTCAAAAGTAATAATTAATTTTAATTGCATACCTGGCGCAGTTCATGAAAACTCATAAGCCCCGCATTCTGCATTGATTTTAATTTTTTTTTACAACTAGATTTAAGTCCACAAAAGTTTATTGCAAAATAAAAAGTACTTAAACGTTGAATATTATGTTGGCCGCATATATGTAACTTTTATTTTACATTAACTAAAAAATGTAGTATTTGCAGTAATTACCATCAACAAGCAGAAGGCCGAATTGAATCACCAACAAGCAAGAGGACAAAAAAAATCACAATTTTTAAGATTCAGGAATACATTCAGATAAATACGAGGTTTTAGCATGGTGCTGACCAATTTGTCGCTCCTTTAGCTGATAAAACAATAATATTTATCTGCTCTAAACGACTTATGAGCACAGAAGGAGTACTTAACATTCTTTCATTGGGAAAACATCCTACGGTATCAAGTAACATTGAAAGAAGTTTTAAATAAAAGAGTAAGTTTGTTTTCGTGGGAGAGATAGTAAAGTAAATTACGATTGATAGGCATGGATAGATGTTAGAACGTGAGGGAATCAGTGACGTGTTGATGCCAACACCAACCCATGACTTACTTGAAACAAATAGAGTGATATACCTTGATCCAGTATTAAACTTAAAGTGCTGTCATTTCAATATTGATCATTTCTTCAACATCTGCTTTAAACTTGTTCTTGTTTTACCTTTCGATTTTAGACAAACCCTTTTAATTTCCATAGCTAATTCACGTAATTAAATAACCGACTGACGTAATTAAACCTGTTTATCCCTGAAGAAAGAGTTAAAAATCATAGCAATAAAATTCTAATAACACGATTATTAAAATTCCTTATGATACAATATTCAAATGTCAGAAATGTATACGATTCATTATTACACTTTGCACCCGAGTCTCCCCCATTCCCTCTTAGCACACGTAATTAAATTCTAATGACTTAAAAAAAAATTAATCAACCCATTTTCTATTGTATCAAAGACAATAAATGTGCACTGGATCGACCTGGCGAGAATGGGCTTTTTACCTCCGTGCAGGCATTACGGTCGAAAATGCTGTAGTAGTGTATTTCTTACATAATGTAATGTGCACAGTGCAGTTGTAATATGAACAGTGCAGTTGTAATCTGTATAGTGCAGTTGTTATATGCACAGTGCAGTTGTAATCTGCACAGTGCAGATTTAATCTACATAGTGCACTTGTTATCTACACAGTGCAGTTGTAATCTGCACAGTGCAGCTGTAATATACACAGTGCAGTTTTAATGTAATCAGCACAGTGCAGTTGTAATCAGCACAGTGCAGTTGTAATCAGCACAGTGCAGTTGTAATCAGCACAGTGCAGTTGTAATGTAATCAGCACAGTGCAGTTGTAATGTAATCAGCACAGTGCAGTTGTAATGTAATCAGCACAGTGCAGTTGTAATGTAATCAGCACAGTGCAGTTGTAATGTAATCAGCACAGTGCAGTTGTAATGTAATCAGCACAGTGCAGTTGTAATCAGCACAGTGCAGTTGTAATGTAATCAGCACAGTGCAGTTGTAATCAGCACAGTGCAGTTGTAATGTAATCAGCACAGTGCAGTTGTAATGTAATAAGCACAGTGCAGTTGTAATGTAATCAGCACAGTGCAGTTGTAATGTAATCAGCACAGTGCAGTTGTAATGTAATCAGCACAGTGCAGTTGTAATGTAATAAGCACAGTGCAGTTGTAATCAGCACAGTGCAGTTGTAATGTAATAAGCACAGTGCAGTTGTAATGTAATCAGCACAGTGCAGTTGTAATGTAATCAGCACAGTGCAGTTGTAGTCAGCACAGTGCAGTTGTAATCAGCACAGTGCAGTTGTAATGTAATCAGCACAGTGCAGTTATAATGTAATCAGCACAGTGCAGTTGTAATCAGCACAGTGCAGTTGTAATGTAATCAGCACAGTGCAGTTATAATGTAATCAGCACAGTGCAGTTGTAATGTAATCAGCACAGTGCAGTTGTAATGTAATAAGCACAGTGCAGTTGTAATCAGCACAGTGCAGTTGTAATGTAATCAGCACAGTGCAGTTGTAATGCAATCAGCACAGTGCAGTTGTAATGTAATCAGCACAGTGCAGTTGTAATCAGCACAGTGCAGTTGTAATGTAATCAGCACAGTGCAGTTGTAATGCAATCAGCACAGTGCAGTTGTAATGTAATCAGCACAGTGCAGTTGTAATCAGCACAGTGCAGTTGTAATCAGCACAGTGCAGTTGTAATGTAATCAGCACAGTGCAATTGTAATGTAATCAGCACAGTGCAGTTGTAATGTAATCAGCACAGTGCAGTTGTAATCAGCACAGTGCAGTTGTAATGTAATCAGCACAGTGCAGTAGTAATGAGCACAGTGCAGTTGTAATGTAATCAGCACAGTGCAGTTGTAATACAATCAGCACAGTGCAGTTGTAATGTAATCAGCACAGTGCAGTTGTAATCAGCACAGTGCAGTTGTAATCAGCACAGTGCAGTTGTAATGTAATCAGCACAGTGCAATTGTAATGTAATCAGCACAGTGCAGTTGTAATGTAATCAGCACAGTGCAGTTGTAATCAGCACAGTGCAGTTGTAATGTAATCAGCACAGTGCAGTAGTAATGAGCACAGTGCAGTTGTAATATGTACAGTGCAGTTGTAATCTACATAGTGCAGTTGTAATCAGCACAGTGCAGTTGTAATCTGTAATTTATGTACTTTATGTGTGGGAAGACGATGGTGTTAAACCTGAGGAGTTTACAGGAAACTAAAAATGCACCCCCCCCCCAACTCACTCAGCCGTGATGTGTAGGCCTACATGGCTTTATTCAGGTAAATTAAGGCCCAGCATAGTAATAATTTCATATGCAACATTATTAAATTCAAAGAAAAATGTGCACAAGAAAATACAGAGGAAATATCCCTCATTAAAAAAATGTGCAAACTAAAATTATGGCTTTCAGAACATGGATGTTTATTTGACAAATGAAACCCATTCTGAACTTTCTGATTAAGGCATGTTTACTTAATAAAAAAGAAACAAAAATAATTTACATCAACAACAAAAAATTAGCCAGAATTATCATAGCCATTGAAACAGCATAATTACCTGCATGTTATTATTAATGCCAGCATCAAGCCCCTTCTCTTGTCTAGTTGTTCACAAAATGAACCAAACAGAGAATTATAACCCAGTTTAAAACAACCAATTTAATTTAAAAAGTAGGCACATAGAATTTTTTTTCACATGTTTGTTCTGGTAGGTTTAAACCTCCCAATAATCCTTAAAGAACAGGTCCCTGTTTTTAGGCTTCACTTACCTAGTTAACCTAATGTGAATTCAGCTTAGTAAAGCAGCGCAAGTAGTTTGAACCTGGCACCAGGCAAATTGCATCAAAGTTAATAGATAGGGAAATCTGTATCCACATGTCTGCCCCAGCTGTGAAGTCCCCCTCGAATGTCCACCACAGTTACAGACTTTTCTGCCAACACACTCTTGAGGCTTTCAACAGCTAGCTGGGAATCATTTCCTCTGCGACAAACACACACAATGTGAGGTTGGGTGTTTGTAGGATTCAGGTGGGTGTTAGGTAAATGCTCAGGGACCAATCGCTCAAATTCTTTCTCTATTTGCTCAACAGCCTCTGGGATGTTTTTCATCAAATTTGTAAAAGGAATGTCTTTAAAATCTGTTAAAGATTATTTTTCCAGAGCATTTTTAAAACTATGCTTTTTTTTAGATTATCACAAACAAAATGCTTTTACTGTTATAAAAAGAAAATTTGTTATGTTATTAACAAAAGTGTGCAAAATATTTTAATTCACAACAATAAAACATGGTATTTAAACTATGAAAATCTACTGTCTTAATATTTAACACCATTTTAAAAGTTTAAATTTCAAATAATAATTTGATTAATTTTAATTGACTAAGTTTTAAAGTTTTTAGATTTTGAATAATTTATTATAGCAATTAGTCTAAATAATTAACATGTAAAAAATTCTATTTTCATGTAAATACAGCCTAATGACTAATTAAAGACAAACGTAAACAATACATATCTACACTAGATCACCATTGAATAAAGGATACTAATGGCTGGATGGGGCAACTGACAAATGTCCAGCTCAACACTTGGCCTTACATCCAGCAGAAGATGTGGGACACTTTTTTCCAACATGGCTGAATATTCCTAGAGCAACAGAACATAATGTATTTACTTTTAATAAAGAACCTATCTTCTGAGAATGAAAATGTCAAAAGTCAGATGATTTAAAAATTAACAATAAAAAAATTTGAAGTTGGTGTTTCTCTTGTTACAAAATATTTTATCACTTGCTATAACTATAACAATAATTTTTCAACAAAACCATTCATATTTTAAGTATAGCCTAAAAATCTGATAAATGAAATTACCTTTGCACTAATCCTGAGGCTATCGTCTAAAACATGTAGCTCATGATCCTGTAGATATTTTAAACATACATTTACTATAAGCCTACTTTAATTTCACATTTTAAAACATAGGGATTTCTATTTTTACTTCAAAGAAAAAGACATTTTGAAAGATAGTTTTGAAAGTGAATTTCATATAAGGGGTTTTAACTGACTACTTTTCAAATACATTGCTGCCTCCCTTTACAAATATGGCATTTGGGAATTTATATTTGTGAATTCTTCTTCTTCTTCGTTCTTAATTATTAGTGTTGAAGGGGATCGAGATTTATCTGCCAGTGGGTTGAACTCGAGACTTTGTTCGAATTTATCAACCATGAGCTTTTTGCCAACTCGACCACGCCTCCAACACAATTAAGCGTTACGTGTCAACTGGTTATGCGCCATTGAGGCCATTGACTCCGATTTCAGCCTGCTTTTCTTTTTGGATTTGCTTCCATAGCCTTTGTCCAACCAAGAACAATCTACAAGGCAGCAGTTGTTTAATTTTGGAGTTGTCTCTCCTAGAAGAGTGGCTGTCCCCAGCTAACGAGCCTCATCTGCCCGAGGGTTCGAACTCGAGACTTTTCGGTTTAGCAATCATGAGCTTTACCGACTCGACAACACCGACCCCTTTTGTGAATTCAAGTTTTAAGTTTACTAGCTATATAACAAAGCTCACTTTTAAAAAAAAAATAACCAGTAATTGAAGGTGGATTTTTGTTCTTGTCAAACTATTTTAAAAACCAATAAGCACAACAAATTAACTTGGGAAACTTTAAGTAAATAGTAACTGTTTAAAATAATTTATAAAAATGTCTGATGTGATTAAGTAAATAGTAACTGTTTAAAATAATTTATAAAAATGTCTGATGTGATTAAGTAAATAGTAACTGTTTAAAATAATTTATAAAAATGTCTGATGTGATTAAGTAAATAGTAACTGTTTAAAATAATTTATAAAAATGTCTGATGTGATTAAGTAAATAGTAACTGTTTAAAATAATTTATAAAAATGTCTGATGTGATTTTCTTTAAATACAGAAGATTGATAAAATCTTTAACTGAGAATGAAAAATTAAAATCATTTAATAAAATGGTTTAAAACTTTGCTATCATGTTATAGTCCTTACCTTATCCGAAGCCTTGGCCCCACAGAACTGCTCATAATCAATCAGCTGGTGGATGGTTGGGTTGTCCCCACAGACAGAACAGTCTTTGGATCTCGGCCGCAGTTTTACAGATCGAAAAGTACCGTCCAGTGCGTCAAATAGTAACAGACGCTGCTTAAAAGAAGCTATCACTTAGTTTAAGAAAACCATGTCAAATATATTTATATAGGCCTAGATAGTATAAAAGGTCAGAATCAGCTATAATTTTTATGCAATAATATTCCTGATTTTCAAAACTAAGTCATTACTTGAAGGAGCAAATAATTTCACAAATGTGAAGTAACGTTCTGGGTGAGATTAGAGAACTATTTCATTAAAAAAGTAAACTTTGCATGCTAACACTATGTGACCCATAGGATTGATATTATAGAACATTAAAGGATACTTCCGATGCCAGATAAAATTTTGATGGCTTCTAAGGCTTGTATAGAGCCAATTATTCCAGGAACTGAAGAAAACAAATATAAAATCTGTCTGAATTAGGTTGATATATATTTATTAAGAAGCAAGTCTTAACTATAATTTAAACCACCTCTTCTGATGTGTGGCAGCATTAGACACAATATGATATTAAAAAGATAGTAAATTGTCAATATCTAAAAATTTACATATATTTGAGTGATAACATAATATCTTTGAGCTAAAAATAATTTAGATTTTAAATAAAATTCATATCCAGGTTAATTGTTACTTAACATGTTTGGAAAATTATGTACTTGTTAACACACATTTATATTTTGATTAAGAACTAGCATGATAATATTTATCACCATTGTACAAATGCTATTTGTTGTTTTTTAATGATATTTTAAGCCGTTCAGTATTTCTATTTATCAACAAACATTCCCATAAAAGATACTGTAGTTCTGTTTCTCAGGTTAATTATAAATCTTCAGGTCAATACATGTATTAGCTGATGGTGCTCATGATCTAGAAACAGCTTGAAAGATTATGGAACTAATTAAATTTATATCTCAGGCACCATTGTATTCATCAAACACACCCACATAAACTGCAGTTATTTATCACATTACAAAAACATTCCCACATAAGGAAAGCCTGGCACTATTTTTCTTGTATACCACAAACACCCCCATATAAAGAAATTGTGGCTCACCCACTCCAATGACTCCCCCCTCTGAGCAGTTGGTGACTGTCTCAGGGGGCGGGGGCTGGGGGAAGAGACACCTGTAACATGGGCCACCTTCATGGTTGTATACAGTCAACTGCAGAGATCAACAAAAACTGTCAAAAAACATTGACAAGTGCATAACAAAGTTCTAATGTCAACACAAAATTGACATGTGCATCACAAAGTTCTAACTATTTTAACTTCAACTTGAAGTCAGTCTTACAGAGTGGGGCAGAGATGTAAGATTGATCACAAGATCCTACATGAATAACAGCACTGATAAGAAAGTAATGATATTTTTATGAAAGACCAGCTAAACAGGGTTAAAAAAGAATTCAGTAAGAAAAAATTGGATAGGACTAGATAGAGGATACACTGTGTTAATTGTCAACCCAACACCAGCCAGGTACTAAAATAGAAAGCTCAAGGGAGGTAGAAATAAAGATAACTTAAAAGCACAATCTCGAGACATTGATTCTTGTAGGACTATTAAATCAATTAGCAGGTAATCAAGGACAACATAAGTAGTTAATTTTTGTGCCAGTGAAAAGAGGTAAATACCTGACCCTCAAACCTAAGGGCACTTCCAGAGATAAGAGGCTTGCCAGCTAATACACAGGCATCGTTAAGGAGATAACGAGTTGCAACATTGTCAGTGGCATCTAGGACGACATCATACCTAATTAGGAAAACAATATCTATAATTAAATTAAGTTTTGAACAACTGCATAATTTAAAAAGATCAGTTTTTAAAACATAACACTTGATAAAATCTAAATAAATTGCAAATTGATCTTTAGGTAACTGTTTTCAAGTACTTCATATATATTCACTTGCCTCTTGATTATCTCCAGTGCATTACTGCTGTCTAGTTGTAGTTGATAAGGGATGTACTCTACATTTGGGTTAATGCTAAATGAGATAATCACAGGTCTTAATTAAATGCAAAAATTATGGGTTTTAATAATCTATTTTAACTAAAAAGAAATCAAAGGTTTTCATGACTTTTACAAAAGATAGATTTTAAAAACTAAGTTAAATTCAATATAGTAGAACTCAACAAAAATAAAAATAGATTGAGATGAGATTTCAAACAAAATGCTTTGTTAACTTTTTAATGTGTTCATGTTGATTAAAAAAAATAATTTCCAATGGAAGGATCAAGGAAAATATATCAAAGTGATCATGATTGGAAACTCTATCTAAGTGACAGAGGTCATGGAAGAAAATTGTAAAAAAATCTATCAAAATGATCTTGAACAGCTACAAACAGGCAAAAACTAACTTATCAAAGCTAGGTCTAAGAAACACATTATGGTAGGGGTTGGTATTGATTTAAACCTTCAAAATCAGCTGTGATATTAAAGTTTAAAAAGTTGAAGGCTATCTAATGTGGTACCTACATTGGTATAAGGGTTAAAGAACTATAGAACAATTTTAAGCAGATATTACTATAAACCTAAAAGAACAAGGTAGGAGCTAAAGAATGACTAGCTATTGGCTCAGCCATACCTGTGACATGCCTGTGAAACAGACAGGGACTTTGACAGCCCAATACGATGTGTGGTGTGGAGAATCTGCCGGTGTAGATTGCTGAGGTCAACTTCGTCATAGTCCACTACACCCAAACGCCCTAGATATACCATACAAATGTTTTAATATTATTATAAAACTCTAAAATACTGCTTCAGAGGTCGGATATTTAGTGGTGGCTAATAGTTAGTGGTTTTTTATTGAATAACGATATGGTTTTCAGAAAATCAGAAATGGAAAAAATAAACAAGTTTCAAACAGAAGAAAAGAGAGCCCAAATCATTTAAGTAAGTTACCCTTTCTGACCTGATAGTTCATAGGGCAGAACTAAGTAGTGTTCATTGGTTACCTTGACCTTAGCATATAAGGGAACAGTATGCCAAAGTTATATATTCTAAGCATTCAATGTTTTTTTTTAAACAGAATAGGGGATAAAAATGGTAATAACCCACAATAGTAAAAAAAAAACACCAGCTAAACTAAGTAAGAAAAGGGGTGAAAAATAGCAACTATTTCATGGTAATGGATGTCTAATACAGGAGAATTAAATAGAAATTAGTCTGCTGAAGAGATGTGTCCCATATAAAAATACAAGAATCCATTACTTAACTTGACAAACTGGGCATCATAAAAAACAACTGTTTATTGGACTCACCTATCCCAGCAGCAGCAAGGTAAACAGCAGCTGGACAACCAAGACCCCCAGCACCAACAATGAGGGCTGATGAGTTTCTGAGTTTTAACTGACCTAGAATTATCAAACATCTCGGTAAAATAAATTATAACATTTAAGGTACCTGTTCAATAAAGATGTTATGTATCTATATTATAAAATGATAAAGTCTTGGAAAGAAAAGAAAAGAATAAACATGATAAGGTTAAAAAGCAATTTGTAAGAACTTAGAAATGTGTATTGGTGAAAGAGATTATACAAGTAAACAGCAAAATGCAATGTAAGATTAAACATTTTAATTCAACAAGCTACTGGTGTAGGGTTATATCGGTTATAAAATATAACTTAAATACTGTTTTTGGAAATAACTATTTTCCACGATAGGATTAGACACAGGTAAATGGTAATCTTCCAAAAAAGATATAGCATGGTATTACCAAATACATTTTACAAATCATTTTAATGTTAAGCCACATTTAAAAGATATTTTTTTAAATTCATGAAGTATGATAATTTATTTAGACGCATTACAAGTAGCTCATTTATTAGGGTTTATGTCTACCTTTCAGCTAATTACCTTTGACACCAAGTTCAGGTAAAATAAGTTGCCGGCTGTATCTAGCCACATCTTCTTTTGAAAGTTTAGAGATGTTTTCTTCACAACCGAATGGTTCTCCTGGTTCTGTGACAGAAGTTAACTTCTTTTCTGATATCTGTAAAAATTTGTTTATAAAAATATAATTTTTAAATGTTATAATATATTAACACAAGATAAATGGCCCGTTGAGGGAGAAATACAATGGGCGCTAGGTTGATAGTGATGTCTCTTTTCTCTAAACCAAAATCAAAACCAAAATCACCACTCAACTTCAAGTCTAACGGAAAGAAAAAATGTCAATGGATTTTTATCCAGAATCTGCATTTGAACCGGATTTAAGCTAGATCTACACTTAGTTACTGCACGTTGATACTAAATATAGTCGTAGTGATACCCCAAAGCCTTGCATCTAAGCTCAAACATGATAAAAGTAGCATTTAGAGTTTCTTTCAGGTGATTCTACACGGGAAGGGATTTGGGGGGGTGGGGGGAGAGGGTTGTTTTGGTTGTAGAGCCCCTTCAATGAAAAAATACAATTTAGTCCACCTTCCCCCCCACTAAATTGTCAAGTACCCCCACCCTCTCTGGGGACAAAAAGTCTGAAAGAAACACTGGTCACCTTTTTAGGGGTGTTGGGAAACTGCGAGACGCGGAAAGCGAAATGGCGAGGCGGGAAAATGCGAGAAGGTAATGCGAGACATACCTGCGGAATCAAGGGTAAATAGCGAGACACCTTTTGCGAAAAAAGTTTTTTATCATACTTTTTTTCATCTTCATTTATTTAAATTATTTTTTTTTGTTTTAAAACAAACAAGCATGTATCCACACCCTTTAACACGAGTGTTGTATGTTTTTATTTTTTATCTAGATTTTATTATATATATATAGATAGATACTTAAGATACTAAGAAGATACATAGATCTATATCTAGATCTATCTATTTAAAAAAATTGTTGCTGTGCTACTGTCATCGCCCGCTCTCGTTAGCGACAGGAAAATCCTGTCTCAGTCGACATTAATTTTAAAAATCTAGCCCGCTCATCTTTTTACAAACGTGAGCTGTGTCATTGTGAATTGGTATAATCTTGTCAGCAGGAGAGATATTCTGCAACATGTATTCATGGATTGTTGTACTTGCAAAAAGTGTAAAAGTATAAACAATTCTAAAAAGTGTAATTTATTTTTTATTAAGTAATTTTAATTGCAAACAAAATTTACAAACAAAATCTTCTGAAACAGTCCTAGCACTACTCAAACACACCTCGTCACACCATCTTTCACACATAGTACATCCAACATCTGAATAAAGTCCGCTATCGACAAAACTACCATTTAATAGCTAAAAGGGGTAATTCATATATGGCGTCACGCTTTTTTTGACGATTTTTACCCCCCCTCCCTTCCGTCACACATTTTCACAAAAATCCAGACATCAACCCCCCCCCCCCCCCCCCCCACTAAAATGATGTCACACCTCAGCCTACAACCCCCTTCAAAAGTGCAGTTGAATTTTTTTTTTTTAAATATCGGTATTTTTCCAAAATCTTGTCTGAATTCTGTCAAAATAGAGTATTTTAATTAATTCCTATTACAATTTATTAAAACAGTTTTCTAAATCGCGAAATAACATCTAAAATTCTCTTTCTAACATTGCTTTTTTATAGTGTGACGTCACAACATCTAACCCTTCCCCCCCCCCCCCCCCCACCCTACCCCTCATCACACATTTCTATGCAACAATACAAAATATGTTTGCGGCGGCAGCAGATTCGGGCAAGGTGATCTTCAAAGACGGTAAATCAGGCGGCCTCGGCGTTCCACACAAAAGAAAGAAGTTGATCTATCGTCGGCGGTATTTCCGTCGGTTTCGAACAAGGTGGTAATCTAAGTCGACACAAAAGATGGGAGTTTACAAATCATCAGTATGTCTAGCGACGGAAACATCGGAAGTTTTAACAATGTAAACGAAACGTCTTTGAAACTCTGGACCAAATACCACTGAAAATCGGGTACGGTAAATTTTTCGCAGAAATCTTCGCATTTCAACACCACCCAGCGTAAGTAACGGGTTGTGGTAAAATGCGAGACAAAAAGTCACGTGACCGACCGTTTTCGCGCCCTTCTCGCATTTTCCCGCCTCGCCATTTCGCTTTTCGCGTCTCATGCAGACTAAAGGTAGACCCTACTTCTATAATAAATAGACATGTTTTATACTTTTGGCTGCCAGATCTAAACCTCAACGATAAAGATAGTGTTTCTATTAGACTTTTTTCTCTCCTGGGGGAAGGGGGGGGGCACTATACATTTGGGGGGAGGGGTAAAATTAACCCGTAATTCTTTTTTTTATTCAGCAGGTCTGTCTCATGTTTTCTTCTTGTATTTTGCGGCCTCACTATTTTGAGTGGCTCGCTTTTTTTGACAGTTTTTATTAGTTTTTAGTAGACACTGCTTTTTACTTTTTACAACAATTTCAATTACTCAATTTATTCAATAACATGACGTTGTTGTCAAATGTTGTCAACAACGTCACATTATTGAATAAATTCAAACTTGAGAAGGCCTAGGCCCTAGGCCTAACTTCAAAACTAAATTAAATAAAGTTGTAACTTAAAACTCACATCATTGCTTATTAGCTTTTTTAAACGATTTATTTCTTCTTCTTTCTTCTGAAGCTCTAACTTCAAATTTTCAAGTGTTAACTCAGACGACATTATTTACTATTAGACTAGAAGTTTCGTCTTGAGTCTTAAGTACTCTTAAGTCCTACTTCCACTTTCGTTTCTTGATGATGGACCTCTAGTTGATTTTTAAAACCTATTTTATGGAGAGGTACACTAAAATAGTAACTCTTCTGTGTATGGAGATTGGAGCGTTTTTAAGGTGTGGTGAGGGAGGGGTAGATAGGGAGGGGGGGTCAGAAAGAATTACGAAAACTGAAAACATTTCGCAGTTGACCGAAACTGAATTTTAGCTGTTTGTTCTCATTTTGATAGGACTTTCCCCTCCACCTCAAATGCAAAAAAAAAAACTCATCTAGATCTACATAGGCCCACTCAATTACAAAGAAATTGCAGTTTTAAAGCGCAGCAATTTCCGACTTTAATTTTTGTGTGTGGGGTGGGGGGGGGGGGGGGGGGGGGGGTGAGTAATAGGCCTAAGTATGATGACGATATTTTATGGATAGGTGGTCTGACTCTCTCTACAACCCCACTGCACTAAGGGGTCACCATGCCTTAACCTTCCCTGTGAAATAACAATAATTCTTGAGAGGTCTGCCAAACTTTTCGTCATCTAAATAAAATATAGACATTATAGTGATCATTATACATTTATTTAGATCTACCCCCCCCCCCCTTTTTCACCAGCGTAGATTAGATCGAGCCATTTTTTTTTTTGGCGTACTGGCGAACTTAACCCACTTGATTTCAGCTCATTTAATCTACCCCTACTTATACAAATACTAAAATCGGGTCATCGAAATTCCAAATTGAACACCCAGTCATGAAGCGGTCTGAATGTAGGGTCAAAGAATCACAGGTAATGTTTACTTTCTCGGCTGTGATCACTCTCTTCTGTGGACCTGCATACCGAATACAACTGGTAGTCATGCACCTGAGCCGGGTGTTTTACAACAGTGACTCAACCCTTTTTTTTTTCGTGTCTTTGATATGTAGCCTAGAGTTTGATTAAAGCTGCTGCAATAGTTCTCAGATTATTGAGTTTAGGTAGATGAAGTAGAGTTCATCTGTTTCTGTCAGGCTGGGTGACTCAGGGACGTCCTATAAACTTGAGTCCGGAGTTTGAACTCGAGACTTTCTGGATAGCAGTCCATTTTTACATCATTTTTATTTTAAATCAAGTTTAAAACACTTGACTGAGTTTGTGAATTGAAGCCCTATAGCTGGTTAATGTATAAAAACAAGTACCATCAGAGTTTCTTCCAGGAAATTTTAGTCCGCCCCCCCCCCCCCCCCCCCACGAAAAATTCCAAGTGCCCCCTCCCCGGAGAAAAAAGTCTGGAAGAAACATTGGAAGATTTCAGATTTTGTTACTTCATTTTTTATAAGTTCATATTTTTATGTTAAATATGAGGATTTAATTTTTGTTAAACAAAAATTCTAGTATAAAATAATCATAACTGTTAGTTTGATTATTTTAGTGTCCTATTGACTAACGTTACTGGAAAGATGGAATTACCTTCTGGGGTGTTGGGTATTATGGCATTAAAGAGTAGTGTTTTACACTTAACAATCCTACCGTCTGTATCGCAGACGGAGTTCATCTGTCTATACAAACTCAGGTGGGCGTTGTTTTGTCTCTTCTGTACCTTTACTCATATTGATTCTATTTCTGTTCTCATTAAAGCTGGGTAGACTCAGAGACGTCCTATATTTTACAAGCAGAGATTTAATCTCAAGGACTTCTTGATAGGAGATAGTATAGCCTACCTTTTGACCGTGGGGTCAAATTAGCAAACAAGCGTTATTATAAAAGAAAAAAAAAAGAAGATATACGGCTGCCATAAAAATAAATTTCAATGACATTATCAGCAAGGAAATTAAAAGGGAAGATCTACGACATTGAGATCGTCTTCTTCTTCGTTCTTAATTATTAGTGTTGAAGGGGATCGAGATTTATCTGCCAGTGGGTTTGAACTCGAGACTGTTCGAATTTATCAACCATGATCTTTTTGCCGACTCGACCACGCCTCCAACACAATTAAGCGTTACGTGTCAACTGGTTATGCGCCATTGACGCCATTGACTCCGATTTCAGCCTGCTTTTCTTTCTGGATTTGCTTCCATAGCCTTTGTCCAACCAAGAACAATATACAAGGCAGCAGTTGTTTAGAAGAGTGGCTGTCCCAGCTAACGAGCCTCATCTGCCCGAGGGTTCGAACTCGAGACTTTTCGGTTTAGCAAACATGAGCTTTACCGACTCGACCACGTCGACCCCCTATTGAGCACGTAAAATATACCTTGTATAAAGTAGAACCAGTTACATTAAGTTTTTTATAAAGCATATCTAGATAAGCGAGGACACTTGTGGAGACCCTAATAAAATAATTGAGAAACACTGATTTTTTTTTTAACCTACAGGTACCCTTATTTACTTTAGACAACAGAGCACAACTTCAAAATATATTTTAACAGCCACCCCTACCCCTAAATGTCACAACTTCGCTAACACGATTTAAAAAAAAAAGTTAAATAAGTATGTCATACTATATCCCAGATTCGTGTATAAAAGGAAAAAGGCTTCATTACGAATTGGGTCAGGTTGAGGAACTTTTATCTTAGAACTTTTTCAGTGACAGAGTTAGTCTGAATCTTGAGTAAGTTGTTTTTTTCTTCGCATTTCTTGTTGCTATATACTTATTGTTATTTTTAAAAATGAAAGCGCCAAACTTTGTTACAAATCTTATAACCCTTCTTAAATATAACATACTAGTTTTATCTTATGCTAATGTCGGATAATAATATAAAGTGATGTGTAATTAGCATTACGTATATTCATATGTCAAGTAATAACAGGCTATTGTAATGTTTTTCTTTCCATTGGCTTTCTTTTCATTATCTCTTTAGCCATAATTATTAAATTGCTCTTCATTGCGTTTACCATTTTATGTGTAAAAAACATTCCAAATGTGTGATAATGAAGATATAATTTTTTCATGTATTTCTAGCCACCGCACAAAATGCTACTAAGACTATTGCTATGCACCCTGATGGCTTACGCCGCCTTGGTGGAATCCCTGGAGTTCACCGTCATAAACACACCCATGGGTCAAATCAAAGGAGCAGAGGTCATGGCCAGCAACAACAAAACCTACTGGTCATTCCGTGGTGTACCCTACGCCAAGCCCCCAGTTGGACCACTCCGTTTTGCTAAGCCCGAGCCACTTCAACACCGAGGTAAACATTGATTTTTTTATTCTGCTTTAGACGTTTGGTATGATTATGGTCTTGATTGTCAGAATCGTTAAGATAATAATATGCGATTCTATTCAAGTTAAAAAATTGGTCCAACGATTAAATGTAAAAAAATCTTGTTAATATATATATATATATATATATATATATATATATATATATATATATATATATATATATATATATATATATATATATATATATATATATATATATATATATATATATATATATATATATAATTAGATATGTCGGATGTAGCCGAGTACTAATGAAATCTTAACTGACTTTTTTCTTCCAATAAACAGACGGCATATTTGACGCCACGGTTCCAGGTTATTCTTGTGTCCAAGATAATTTTTTCCTCCTGCCCGGTGAAAAAGTTTCCGAAGACTGCCTCAGCCTGAGCATTTACGTCAAGGACTTCCGTGTGACCCGTAACTCGGCTAAGAAAGTTGTGGTTTGGTTTCACGGCGGGGCCTTTTTGTTCGGCTCGGCTTCCGTTTATGACGCCGGATCTTTCGTCACCGACTATGACGTCATAGTGGTCTCTGTTCAATATCGGTTGGGCGTTCTGGGATTTCTGAGCTCCGAAAATGATGCCAGTCCCGGAAATTACGGTTTGTGGGATCAAGCCCTCGCTTTGCGCTGGGTCAAAAGTCACATTGCTTGGTTCGGCGGAGACCCGGATGATATTGCTCTTGCAGGAGAGTCTGCCGGTGCTGCGTCAGTGTTGTTGCTGTCGCTGAGTCCAACAACGAAAGGGTTGTTCACCAAGGTCTACGCCCACAGCGGAACGCCCACCGGGCTTTTCGCACGTTATCACGGCGCGAAATCCGACGCGATTCTACTCGCTAAAGAAATGAACTGTACGAGTGGACCCTCGCGAGCGGAATTTATCTTTGACCAATCCGTCGTGAACTGCCTGCGATCAAAATCTTTATCTCAACTCGCAAGACCTTTATCCTTTGACGTGACAAGAGCTGTTTACGTTCCAGTAGTGGACGGTTCCTTTCTCCCCAAACCTCCATCTGAGCTGTTGAATGACACTCACTACCTAGAAACCATCGGGTTCTACTCTCGTAAATATTTCATTGTTTTAAACAACAACGAGCAATCCGCTATCGACGCCCGATTCCTTCCGCAAAAATCCATCTTCTACGCCACCAGCAACGGGTCGGATGCCGACAAAGACGCCCTGTGGTACCAGTTTAAAAAATCCCTGGCCAGGTCCAACATTGCTCAACGTTATGAAGTCCCCGACGTCTCGAGCCAAGTGGTGAAAACGGTGACTGACTGGTACGAGGACAGATTCGTTGGCGACACCGCCTACCAGCAGCTTCTGACAGACTTACACTTCAATATTCCGGCTTTCGACGTCCTCAATGCCATCACTCAAAGCAAGAACACGCACGTTTGGCTCATGTACTTCAACTACTACCCCCACTTCATGCAGGGTCCGTACCGGGGAATGATACACAGCCTGGACCTCTGCTTCTGGTTTGATTTCCCCCTGCCACTGATTGATAAATACCTAAGCGCCGGAGCCACGGGAAGTTATGACCAGCGGGACAGGCAAATCAAGAGAAACTTCTCCACCATTCTTGCTGAGTTTGTGAAAAATGGGTGAGTATTGACCGACTTCAGGAGGGTGGGTGGTTCAGATAGTGTGAAATAAAGTAATATTAGAAACTAAAATTTAGCCGTTATTTCGCGATTTAGAAAAATCTTTTAAAAAACTGTAATATAAATTAATTAACATACTCTATTAGCCGAGCTCAACAAAATCGATGCTTCAAAAAAATTCAACTGCAATTTTTAGGGAGGTTTTATGACGTCATTTTTTTGGGGGTGGTGGTGGAGGGGGGGAGGAATAAAAATGTAAAAAAAAAAAAGTATGACGTCATTTATGGATAACCCCGTTGTAACTTGCGACAATAAGCATATTTCTTTCTTTTTTTTCAGTACCACTGGCGCTGCGATCTCTAGAATTATCCCAACTGGTTGGCCTGAGTATGACAACGTTGGACAATACTACTTGGACTTCAACCAAAGCCCGTCCATTCGAAGAAATCTATTGAGAGAACAGCGACAGCTTTGGGGAATGGTGCCTCCAATGATATCAAATAATTGTCTGTAAAGAAAAAAAAGATAGATATCTCCACTTATTAAACAAAACGAAATCGTCAATTACAATTGTAAAGGTTTTCGAAAGTAAATTATTTTATATCATGTTTTTAACATATTGTCATTTTTTTTTAAAAGCCATACACAGTGAAATCTCGGATTTTGTTGACTTCGGTTATGATTGTCTTTAAGATTGTGTCATTTGTATTCGAGACAACTTGATTTCGGCTTTCGTCGCTAATTTGACTTGAGTTGAGATGTATCTCGGTGAACCTAGAGTTGACTAAGATATGGCTTGCATGAGGTATTTTGATGGGCTAGAGCCTTTCTCTGCCGACCCAACACGTTTTAAAGTTGTTTTTGGTGAATTCTCTGGATTAGGGTCAATAGATAACATCTATTTAAAAAGCTTTTTTGTGAACAATGGGACAAATGACACTTGAGTTGGCTCTCGTCTCAAAAAGTCATTGAAGAAAGTGACCTTCTATAGGACCTTAAAATCTAAGGTCCTTATGATGGGGGATTCACTTTGAAAGCATTATATTTTACACCTCCTTAAGTTTTCAGAAAGGTAAATGCCAGATTAAAACACGATTTTTATTTTATATTACATTTTTGTTACACATACTTTATTTTTTATTTTTTTGCTTAAAGCAATATTTAGAACGAATAAATTGCATTTACAATAATAATAATAATTGCCCGCTGTTTTGTTATTTTTTTTTTCATTTATTTTGTTAAGCACTTCAGCTTTCTTCTCATTCTGTTAACGATGTAACACTATAATATTTGTATATATTAGAATAACAACAATGATTTTCTCAAATGTTTGCTGTAGTCTACCTGAACAAAATATTTTTTAAACATTTTAATTAAAGACCAAAGATCAGATCGTCCATTGTTTTATGCTTATTAAATAAATGCTGTAATTGATTTCATTATCTATATTTTTTTACTTGGTTGTATAGACCTTAATGCAGCATATTATATTTTCTTATAACAAAATAAAGCTATATTTCTAAATAAACTTGTGATGGTTTGTTATCATTGAAATATGTTTTCAAACACAGGCTGACTAAATAAATGGTGTGCATATCTAGATGGGTCTAGTAAAAAATATTTGAAACAGAATATTTCTATGGGGTCTGTGTAGTTGATAGCGAATACAAATAGTCTTTCGTGGTTTTTAAATGGAAGTGGCTATTCGGACCCGGGTCCCAATAGCCTCGGCCGCTATTGGGACCCGGCATTAAGTTCGTTAAGCACTTGTACAACCTGTATTAAAATTACACCTTTTGTTTATTTGATTTTTCTTGTGGATTTGTTCGTATTTTGTTGTCTTTTATTGTAATTAGTTATGCGGATTAGCAGAGGCGTAGCGACCCTTCCCGGCGCCCGGGGACAAACTTTCAATTTGGCACCCCCCTCGGGAGCAAATTTCAATTATATTCTCAAAACTTTAAAAATGCAGCTAAAATGACATTTTGATTTGTTTTTACAACCCATCTTGGCGCCCCCTAAGGTCGGCGCCCGGCGACATATGTACCCCCCTGCCCCCCCCCCCCCCCCCCCCATCGCTACGCCTCTGCGGATTAGCTAGCTTTAGTTCTTGCGTTGCTATTTCTAAATACCCTATATTAAAACTATATTAAACTTTATATACAAAATCATTAAATAGTAAGACGTCGTGGTCTAGTGGAGAACGCAGTACCTTCCGATTCTCAATAAGTTACGGGATCGGAATCTATCAAATCTCTCTTTTTTGCGTGAGGTAAAGTGTATTTATCTGTTTAACATTCCATTGAGTTGTTTGCATTAGAGACTTTTTTAAATTATTTTTTTTAATAGATTATTTTTTTTATAGATTTAGGTTTTTAAACACGCCAATTATAAAAAAAAAAACATCGTTGTTCTAATGATCGCCCGGCGCGTTTTCTGGTCAGCGCAAAAAAATACTGACATGGTCTAGCCAGGGTCACTGTGAGTTCACTTTGGTTTACAGTGTAGGCGTATAGCATACGTCATAGCAAGACCATTGCTATGAGCTTGTCGAGATTTGTTGTCGTCGTATTCCCCCCCCCCCCACTCTCAACCCAGCAAGAGGGAAAAACGGATTTGGGGTCATTGTGAGTTCAAATGTTACATATTACTTCTATTATTAAAGCGTACAACAACGCACGCAAGATATTCGTGGTCATAAAACGGACGCGGAAGCTGTAGTCTGCAGCATATAGAGCTTTTTATGCAATTATATATATATATATATATATATATATATATATATATATATATATATATATATATATATATATATATATATATATATATATATGTATAGCTCAATTCTGTATGTAAAATATTTATTTGTAAAATTAAAGCCGTTTGTCGTGGATACTTCTATGGATTTAAGTGTTAGATTATTATCGTGCTCATAGTCTAAATTTATGAGTTAAAAAATTACTATTGAAAGTCTTTAAAAACAATTTTCATTTTATATACTTAGAATAATAATTTTCAATTATGAACATTACATAAAAATTTTAAAATGTGTATCAACGTTTATAAAATTTCTAAAATTGTGTCTGAATGTATTGACTGCACAGTAACTTCCCTTTAAAAATCACTAAATGGGGGGGGGGGGGGATAGAAAAGAATTTACTATTTATTACTTTGTTTTGGTGTTAAGAAAAAAAAATAATTACATAATTAGCGGGGATTGATTAAGTGCAATGTCGTTGGTATTTTTAATACTGCCTTTTATTTATTCTATACACTGAACTTACTGTTCAATAATTATTGTTTAAAATCAATAACATTTAATAAGCCAGGTCCTACAAATCCTATATGTTAGCTTTCTTTCCATTTACGGATAAGCTTGGAGTATTATCATTTTGTTCACTAAATTGAAACAGGCGCGTCCGCCGGCGCCCCTGCACGGTTCGATTTGGCGCCCTGAGCTATCATGTGAGGGCTATGCTGCATTATTTTGTTTTGAACAGTGCGATAGACTATGGATAAGAAAGGTTACTATAGTCTTTAAGTAAATCAAATCCGGGCGTCCTCCGGCACCCCGACAGGGTGCTATTTGGCGCCCGGGCCTTCCCGTGTACGCTATGGTACCTACGTTCGCGTGAGTTCAAAAGACTATGAATAAGTTATGTACTATAGTCGTTTACTAAGTTGAATCAGGCGGTTACGTCATGGTGCGTCCTCTTGCGCCCAGACAGGGTGCTATTTGGGGCCGCGGGCCTCCCGTGTTCGCTTTAGCGCCTACGTTCGTTAAAGTGAGTGCAAAAGACTATGAATAAGTTGAGGTACTATAGTCGTTTATTAAGCTGAAACAGGCGATTCCGCCCCGGGCTAGACTATGAGCACTTTGCGTTTATGTTCGCGTTAGTGTTTTCTTTGTGTTTAGGTTGGGTTTGCGTTAGTGGTTGCGTTTTGATTTGGTTCGTTTTTGTTCTTTCTTTTGTCGTTTTCGTTTGTGTTTTTTTCTTTGGGTTTGTGTTTCTATTTGTGTTTGTGGTTGGTTTTGCGTTTGGATTTGGTTTGTTTTCGTTTGCTTTTTTGTTTGTGTTTTTTTCTTTGGGTTTGTGGTTGGTTTTGCGTTTGGATTTGGTTTGTTTTCGTTTATAACTAAATCTAAACAATTCTATTGGCTGGTCCCAATAGCAGCCGAGGCTTTTTAAATACACTGTTTTAATAATCACTAAAAAATCTGAAAGTGAAAGAAACCCGTAATTCAGCAGGTCTGTCTAGAGTTTTCTTCTCGTATTTTACCGCCTCGCTATGTCGCGACTCGCTGTTTTTTTTTTGGACAGTTTTTAATAGCTTTTAGCTAGACTACTTAAGTACTTCTTTAAGTTTTAAGAACAACAACGTCGCAGTCACGTTATTGAATAAATAAAAAAAAAATTGAGTAGGCCTAGCTAGGCCTAGGCTAAATTAAAATTAAATTAAATTAACTTGTTAAAACTCACATCATTGCTTATTAGCTTTTTAAACGATTTATTTCTTCTTCTTTCTTCTGAAGCTCTAACTTCAAATTTTCAAGTGTTAACTCAGACGACATGATTTAGAAGTTTCGTCCTGCGTCCTAAGTCATACTTCCACTTTCGTTTCTTGATGATAGATCTCTAGTTGATTTTTAAAACCTATCTTATGGAGAGGTATACTAAAATAATAACTCTTCTGGGTATGGAGATTAGAGAGTTTTTAAGGTGTGGTGGGGGGGTTAGAGAGGGAGGGGTCAGAAAGAATTACGAAAACATTTCGCAGTTGCCCGAAACTTAATTTTGGCCGTTATTTCATCTAGATCTAGATCTACATAGGCCTATTCAATGTTGAAGTTTCTTTAGAAAGAAATTGCAGTTTTAAAACGCAACAATTTTCAACTTTCTTTTTTTTTTGGTGGGGGGGGAGGTTGTGTAATAGGAATAAGTACAACGATATTTTATTCAGGGGTGGTTTTATTCCCTCTATAACCCCACTGCACTAAAAGTCACCATGACTTAACTTTACCTGTGAAATAACAATAATTCTTGAGAGGTCTGCCAAACTTTTCGTCATCTAAATAAAATACTAATACAGACAATATAAATGTATTTAGATATATCCCCCCTCCCGCCCTCCTTTTCCACCGCGCCAGCGTAGATTAGATCGAGCCTTTTTTTGCGTACTGGCGAACTTAACCCACTTGATTTTAGCTCGTTTAATCTACCCAACTTATTCAAATATTAAAAAAGGGTCAGCGAAATTCCAAATTGAACACCCAGTCATGAAGCGATTTTTACAACAGTGACTCAACCCTTTTTTTTTTTCGTGTCTTTGATATGTAGCCTAGAGTTTGATTAAAGCTGCTGCAATAGTTCTCAGATTGTTGAGTTTAGGTAGATGAAGTAGAGTTCATCTGTTTCTGTCACCTCGATTTATGGAGTGATGGTGTGGTCTACTCAATGCTCAGCCAGATTTACTTCCCTGAGTCAGATATTCATTAGAGCTGGGTGGACTCTGGGACGTCCTATAAATCGACCCCAGAATTTGAACTCGAGACTTTCTGCTTAGTAGTCAATTTTTACATCATTTTTTTAAAAATCAAGTTTAAAACATATAGGGCTACACTTGACTGAGTTTGTGAATTGAAGCCCTTTAGCTGGTTAATGTATAAAAACAATTACCTTCAGAGTTCCAGGCATCTCCTGGGGGTAAAGAAAGTTTCCGCCCCCCCCAAGGAAATGGAATTTATATAGAAAAAATATAATTTTTATAGTGTCCGCCCCCCCCCCGGAAATTTTAGTCCCCCCCCCCCCCCACCAAAAATTTCAAGTGCCCCCTCCCCGGAGAAAAAAGTCTGGAAGAAACATTGATTACCATTGGAAGATTTCACATTTTGTTACTTCATTTTTGATAAGTACATATTTTTATGTTGAATATGAAGATCTCATTTTGTTAAAAAAGATTCTAGTATAAAACAATCATAACTGTTAGTTTGATTATTTTAGTGTCCTATTGACTAACGTTACTGGAAAGATGGAATTACTTTCTGGGGTGTAGGGTATTATGGCATTAAAGGGTAGTGTTTTACACTTAACAATTCTACCGTCTGTATCGCAGACGAAGTAGAGTTCGTCTGTCTATATAAACTCAGATGGACGTTGTTTTGTTTCTTCTGTACCTTTACTTATATTGATTCTATTTGTGTTCTCGTTAAAGCTGGATACTCTCAGAGAAGTCCTGTATATTACAAGCAGAGATTTAATCTCAAGGACTTCTTGATAGGAGATATTATACCTTTTGACCGCGGGGTCAAATTAGCAAACAGGCGTTCATATAAAAGAAAAAAGAAGATATACGGCTACCATAAAAATAAATTTCAATGACGTTATCAGAAAGGAAATTAAAGTTAAATGGGAAGATCTACGACATTGAGAACGTAAAACATACCTTGTATAAAGAAGTACCAGTTACATTAAGTTTTTTATAGCATATCTAGATAAGCGAGGACACTTGTGGAGACCCTAAAAAAAATAATTGAGAAACACTGATTTTTTTTTTAAACCTACAGGTACCCTTATTTACTTTAGACAACAGAGCACAACTTCAAAATATATTTTAACAGCCACCCCTACCCCTAAGTGTCACAACTTCGCTAACACGATTTTTTAAAAAAGTTAAATAAGTATGTCATACTATATCCCAGATTCGTGTATAAAAGGAAAAATGCTTCATTACGAATTGGGTCGGGTTGAGGAACTTTTATCGTAGAACTTTTTCAGTGACAGAGTTAGTCTGAATCTTGAGTAAGTTATTTTGTCTTCGCATTTCTTGTTGTTATATGCTTTATTATTATGTATTAATTGAAGATGCGAAACTTTATTTCAAAACTTATCGTACTTCTTTAATATAAAGTGATGTGTAATCAGCATCTTTCATATTCAAGTCAAGTCATAACAAGCCATTGTAATGTTTTTCTTTTCATTGGCTCTCTTTTCATTATCTCTCTAGATATAATTATTAAATTGCTCTTAATAGCGTTTATAATTTTATGTGTAAATAAACCGGGAGTGATCTCCCCTAAACTTTCTCGAGTATTCTTATATAACTCGGAATATAGTAATAGACATGATTTTTAATTACTTAAACTTTTTAAAATAGAATAGAATCTCGTAGAAAAAAAGAATTGCGCACCAAGCGAACGCCAAAACAAAATGTCCATAATCGTGCGCAATATTATTAGTACTCTATAAATTTACATGCGTTTTTTGAGAAATCGGAAATAGCGTAAATTAGTACTTCCGGTCAACGGAAATTACTCAAAATTTGAAAGATGGTAGAGAATTAGATCTTTTACATACATGTGAAATTTCCTTTATCTGTCTGAAAAAGTACTCAAGTTATAGGCTTTTGAAAAATTGAAAGTAGGAAAAGTACCACTTCCGGTTATTGGAAATCGCTCAAAAGTGGATACGGATCTACGATTTTAATAAAATACTTATATATAAAATTTCATCAACCTAGCTGTAACGGTACTCAAGTTATCGTGTTTACACACAAACAGACAGACACACACACACAGACATACGGACAAGATTGCAAAATTATATTTTTCCGTATCAGTGAGGTGTAAAAGGTCGAGATTTGTAAAAATCTCGATTTTTTTGCACGATTACAAGACTTTCTCTATAGGCTACTTCGTATATACGAGAAAGTAAAAACATTCCAAATGTGTAACATTGAAAACATATATTTTCATGTATTTCCAACCACAGCACAAGATGCTACTTAGACTATTGCTATGCGCCCTGCTGGCGTACGCCCCCTTGGTGGAATCCCTGGAGTTCACCGTCATAAACACACCCATGGGTCAAGTCAAAGGAGCTGAGGTCAGGGCCAGCAACAACAAAACGTACTGGTCATTCCGTGGTGTACCCTACGCCAAGCCTCCAGTTGGACCACTCCGTTTTGCTAAGCCTGAGCCACTCCAACACCGAGGTAAACATTGATTTTGTATTCTGCTCCAGACGTTTGGTATGATTATGGTCTTGATTGTCAAAATCGTTAAGATATGCGATTCTATTCAAGTTAAATAAATGTGTCGAACAATTACATGTTAAGTACTTACCTAAAACACTTGTTACTCTAGACATGTAGGCCAATAGCATATGTATATATATATATATATATATATATATATATATATATATATATATATATATATATATATATATATATATATATATATACATATATATATATATATATATATATATATATATATATATATATATATATATATATATATATATATATATATATATATATATATGTGTGTGTGTGTGTGTGTGTGTGTGTGTGTATATAATTAGACATGTCGGATCTTGCCGAGTACTAATGAAATCTTAACTGACTTTTTTCTTCCAATAAACAGACGGCATATTTGACGCCACGGTTCCAGGATATTCTTGTGTCCAAGATAATTTTTTCCTCCTACCCGGTGAAAAAGTTTCCGAAGACTGCCTCAGCCTGAGCATTTATGTCAAGGACTTCCGTGTGAATCGTAACTCGGCTAAGAAAGTTGTGGTTTGGTTTCACGGTGGGGCCTTCCTGTTTGGCTCGGCTTCCGTTTATGACGCCGGATCTTTCGTCACCGATTATGACGTCATATTGGTCTCTGTTCAATATCGGTTGGGCGTCCTGGGATTTCTGAGCTCCGAAAATGATGCCAGCCCCGGAAATTACGGTTTGTGGGATCAAGCACTCGCGGTGCGCTGGGTCAAAAGTCACATCGCTTGGTTCGGCGGAGACCCGGATGATATTGCTCTTGCAGGAGAGTCTGCTGGTGCTGCGTCAGTGTTGTTGCTGTCGCTGAGTCCAACAACGAAAGGGTTGTTCACCAAGGTCTACGCCCACAGCGGAACGCCCACCGGGCTTTTCGCACGTTATCACGGCGCAAAATCCGATGCGATTCTACTCGCTAAAGAAATGAACTGTACGAGTGGACCCTCGCGAGCGGAATTTATCTTTGACCAATCTGTCGTGAACTGCCTGAGATCAAAATCTTTATCTCAACTCGCAAGACCTTTATCCTTTGACGTGACAAGAGCTGTTTACGTTCCAGTAGTTGACGGTTCCTTTCTCCCCAAACCTCCCTCTGAGCTGCTGAATGACACCCACTACCTAGAAACCATCGGGTTCTACTCTCGCAAATATTTCATCGTTTTAAACAACAACGAGCAATCCGCCATCGACGCCCGATTCCTTCCATATAAATCCATCTTCTACGCCACCAGCAACGGCTCGGACGCCGACAAAGACGCCCTGTGGTACCAGTTTAAAAAGTCCCTGGCCAGGTCCAACATTGCCCAGCGATATGAAGTCCCCGACGTCCCGACCCCAGTTGTGAAAATGGTAACTGACTGGTACGAGGACAGACACATCGGCGACACCGCCTACCAGCAGCTTCTGACGGACTTACACTTCAGTATGCCAGCGTTCGACGTCCTGGATGCCATCACCCAAAGCAAGAACACGCACGTTTGGCTGATGTACTTCAACTGCTACCCCCACTTCATGCAGGGCCCGTACCGGGGAATGATTCACAGCCTGGACCTCTGCTTCTGGTTTGATTTCCCCCTGCCACTGATCGATAAATATCTAAGCGCCGGAGCCACGGGAAGTTATGACCAGCGGGACAGGCAAATCAAGAGAAACTTCTCCACCATTCTTGCTGAGTTTGTGAAAAATGGGTGAGTATTTACCGACTCCAGGAGAGGGAGGGGGGTTCAGATAGTGTGACTTTTAGCATTTAAAATAAAGTAATGTTAGAAACTTATAAAATTTAGCCGTTATTTCGCGATTTAGAAAAATCTTCTAATAAACTGTAATATAAATGAATTAAAATACTCAATGCTGACCGAGCTCAGCCAATATTTTAGAAACAAAATCGATGCTTCAGAAAATTCAAAAAATCGTCAAAAAAAGTGTGACGTCATTTATGGAAAACCCCGTTGTAAATTCCGACAATATCTTTAAGTATATTTCTTTTTTTTCCAGTACCACTGCAGCTGCGATCTCTAGAACTATCCCAACTGGTTGGCCTGAGTATGACAACGTTGGACAATACTATTTAGACTTCAACCAAAGCCCGTCCATTCGAAGAAATCTATTGAGAGAACAGCGACAGCTATGGGGAATGGTGCCTCCAATGATATCAAATGATTGTCTGTAAAGACAAAAAATGATGGATGTCTCCACTTATTAAACACAACGAAATCGTCAATTACAATTGTAAAGGTTTTCGAATGTAAATTATTTTATATCGTGTTTTTTTAACATATTGTCATTTTTTTAAAAACCATACACACTGAAATCTCGGATTTTGTTGACTTCGGTTATGATTGGCTTTAAGTTTGTGTCATTTTTATTCGAGACAACTTGATTTCGGCTTTCGTCGCTAATTTGACTTGGGTTGACATATATCTCAATGGCCCTAGAGTTGAAAAAATTATAGCTATGGTGTGGACATGAGTAATTTTGATGGGCTTGAGCCTTATTCTGCCGACCCAACACTTTTAAAGTCTGTTGTTGTTTTTTGGAATTCATGGGATTAGGGTCAATAGATCACATCTATTTGAAAAACTTAAAAAAAAAAAAAGCCATTGAAGAAAGCGACCTTCTATAGGACCTTAAACCTAAGGTCCTTATGATGGGGGATTCACTTTGAAAGCATTATAAGTTACACCTCCTTGTGCAGCCTTCAAAAAGATAAATGCCAGATTAAAACACGCTTACTATTTTATTTTACATTTTTGTTACACATACTTTATTTATTTTTGCTTAAAGTAATGTTTAGAACGAATAAATTGCATTAACAATAATAATAATAATTGCCCGCTGTTTCGTTATTTTTGTTTTCATTCCTTTTGATAAGCGCTTCAGCTTTCTTCTCATTCTGTTAACGATGTGATTATATATGTAGCACTATAATATTTGTATATGTTTGAATAACAACAATGATTATCTCAAATTTTTGCTGTATTCTACCTGAACAAAATATTTTTAAACATTTTAATTAAAGTCCAAATATCAGATCGTCCATTGTTTTATGCTTATTAAACATATGCTGTAATAAATTTCATCTATATTTTTTTACTTGGTTATAGACCATAATGCAGCATAATTATTATATTTTCTTATAACAAAATAAAACTATATTTCTAAATAAATTTGTAATGGTTTTTATCATTGAAATATGTTTTCAAACACAGACTGACTAAATAAATGCTGTACATATCTAGAGGGGTCTAGTAAAAATATTTAAACATGTTGAAGATAGTTAAATTAATTCTAGGGGGTTCCAGTGCAGTAAAGATGCAACAAATATCTCTGTCTAGTAATACTATTCCGCGGGTTATAGCATACACGTCCGTAGATGTTACAGGACAAATTTTAAATGAAATCAAGCTTTCACTGTTGTTTGTTTTAAAGTTGATGAATCATTAGACGTGAGTTCGTGTTCGCAGTTGCTTGTCTTTGTGAAATATATTCATGCAGATGATAACAAAGGAGAGTTGTTATTATGGGAAGATATCATGGAGAAAATAAAAACGTTTTTAGAAACTGGATGATCAAAATGGGAAACGGCTGTACGGATGGTGCCCCAACTGTTTGGATAAAAATCGAGCTTTCAGAAAACAATAAAAGATTTAGCTCCCTGACCAAGGGGAATCCACTGCATGCCCTCTCCAGCAATATTTCCGACTCCATTTCTAATAAAAGTCGCAAATTAAATTTGGAGCCCTAAACACACGTCTGTTTAAAGAACTGTGCAAAATCATGTTCTGCTTTTCTACACTACAGTACGCTGGCTGTCAAAAGGAAATGTTGTGAATCGTGTTTTTGAATTGAAATATGAAATCAAGTTATTGTTGGAAGTGCGAGGGAATCAAGACCTTTTGATATACTTTAACAACAAAGAGTGGGTGGAGAGAGTAGCATACATAGCAGATGTATTCAAACATCAACATAAGCTGAAGCTTATGGGAAAATTAACAAATATTATCTCTTTTCATGATTATCAAAACTGTTAAATTGGCGAAGAAAAATAAATCTTGGATATAGGCCTATTGCCATGTTTGATTAATCTGATTGTGAGGTAAAAAAAATTGAAAGATGGGATTTCTGGGCATCTTGAATCCCTTGGCATCGAACTGCGGCGTTATTTCCCAGGAGTGAAAGGAGAAGAATCTGCATTGACACGGTACCCATTTTCTGCTTCCCTTGACAAAGCAAGCATTCCCGATGAATTACAAGATTGATTTTAAAAATTTGCTGAATGATTCCGCGATAGATGAAAAACTGCTCACACAATTTTGGTGTAGTATGCTCCATTTCTAACCAAACGTGAAATTGATTGCCTTTCGAGTTTTAGTACTTTTTGTGTCTACATATCTTTGCGAGAATATATTTCAACCCTTCTCCAATTAAAAACAAAACAAAACAAAGAAACAAATTAAATGTTGAGAAAGACACGAGATTGGCGTTAACAAAACCACAGACATAAATGTTGAGGCTAGTTAAGCGCATACAATTTAACTCATCCTATTAAAACAATTGTCAAGTATAAGTCATATTGAAAGTCTACAAGAAAGTCTTATTTCAGTGCTTATTAATATACTCACTAATTTCGACTTTTTAATTCTATGGGGGTCGCGGGTCAATTACTTTTTATAAATGGGGGTCACCACTGGAAAAAGTTTGGGAACCACTGTATTAGATTAATAACAAGCTATTGATATAGGATTGTTCAGATAACGTCAGGTGAATAACCTAAATCAACAATGTGATCCATGGTAAACCTGGCCATTTAATAAAAGGGGTCGTCTAGATTTGACGGTATATAAAAAATACATCAAGGGGGAGGGGAGTTATGTGTGGCACAAATGAGGGTGGGGAGGGAACATGATTTCTAGAAAAATGACGTAGCATATATTTCGATTTCTATGGAGTAAAATTCAGTGGCGTAACTAGAAATATATATATATATATATATATATATATATATATATATATATATATATATATATATATATATATATATATATATATATATATATATATATATATATATATATATATATATATATATATATATATATATATATATATATATATATATATATATAGTTTGTTAAAGTACCGTTTTGTCAAGCTGCATTGAAAATGCACGTCAGTAGTGTGTTAACATTTACCAGTACATTAAACGCTCCGTTTCAGAAGTGTAAAGTCAAAATGTAACAGAAACTCTCTTAAAATATCATTTGGGTTTCTCTCCTTCATTTACAGTTCGAAGGAGAATCAATTAAATCACAACAATTTTTTTTTTAAATACATTGATAGTCAAAGCTCAGTGTCGTATAAAGCAAGAAATTAGAATAATTTTTCAATCTATTTTTTTTTCAATACAATGAGTTGTAATTTTTAATAAATAACCCACTTGCTATTTCTCAATATAATTAGCCTCTCTTAACCCCCTTCTACCCCACCCCTAAATCAAAGAAACGGCATCCGTCGAACAGATTGCATTAAGATACTATCATTCGTTCAGTTTTTGCATTTGTTTCCAAAAATTATTGCGTAAATGAGTGACCAATGAAGAAAATCTAATTAATAAACATACACAGGAAAAGATATCAGCTTAACACAAGAAAATCTACTCAATAAACATACACAGGAAAAGATAACAGCTTAACAAATAAAATTATCATCCCTATTTAAAATTACTCTCTTGTCCATACTCCGAGACCCACACTTTTTTTTATTGTTGGGACGTCTGCTCCCCCCTCCCTTCCCCCCACACCTCTCCCCACAGCTGAAATCGCGACTTCGACCCTGTTGTCGAAATATTTTTTTTCGACGCCACTGATTGTAGACCGTGGTTCGTGTTGCGCATGTCACTGGTAAAAAAAAATTAAATTGAAATCACGATGACATTAGTTCTATATACTCCTGGCACTAGTCCCCTATTTTTACCTACCACCCCCACCCCACCCCAAACACATACCCAACCCTCTTTATGCAAGAGATCACGTGAATAGTGGTATTGGTTTTCTTCAGCTCTCCTTATAAGAACAAGAATATCAACGGCCCTATCCACATGAGGCAAAGAACTAAAGAGTGTTTGTGTGTAAAGAAAGAAAGTGCCTGCTGTACTACGGCATTGGAAACTGAAGCAGTGTTCTAGCTTTATGTCTGAGAGATTTTCATTTAGCTGATACATATTTGCATGAAATTGGCTTACCTTCAATATTTTAGGTAATATATATTTTTTTCTTTATGATATATCTTGTTAGTTTAAAACTACGATTGAGTATTATAGAAACTTCTCTAAACTAGTGTTTTCTCTAGTCAGTGAAAGCTATAATGTTAAAGATAATATACTTATTTTAGTATCCTGTTGATTAGTTTGTTGGATTTCTATAACATACAATGTTGGCGAAGAAGCTAATAACCTTAGGGTAGTTTGTAAAATATGCGTAAAGCGTATGAATTCAAATATTGTCCTTTAACGTTGGCAAACACTCGTTCATTTAGATCAGGGGTCTCCAAACTTTTCAGCCCGAGGGCCGGATTAACTATCAAATATCAGTTCGGGGGCCAGAGTTTCTTTAATGTAACTCTTCTGGGTCGTGGCGCCCCCCTCCCACCCAAAGAACGTCTCCCCCCCCCCCCCTAAATGGAAATATTATTTATAGAGAAATATATGCACATTTCAAATGTCCATCTCCACCCCACCCCGCCCCCCACCCACCCGAGGCCCACGTTTGTTCTCAAATTGTTCTTCACGTATTTCATTCTTGAAAATGTTTGTTCACACAGGTATGTTGTTCGAAAATTTGAAAGGTACTTTGATGCAAAAGTTTTAATGTTAGGAAAGTCTTCCTTCTCGCAAAATTAGCAATCTTACTGATGTTAAATATAGTAAATCTTGCTATTTTGTGTTTGTCTCTGAACTATCTATGATTAGGTATCCTCTTCATACATTATAGGTAGGGAAGCCAGCTCTTGTGTTATGTTCAGGTCTTCATCCACACCTTTAATGAACACAAGAAGTTGAGATGTGGAACAGCTGTCCAGCGAATCATCTATTGCAATTGAAAATTGGCGATACTTGCTTGAATTTTTCGCTATTTTAGTCGCAATATTTTCACCTATGTCTGAAATAGCAATATTAACAGAAAGTGATATTTCAACGCCAAGGGTAGACAAAGGTACAGAAAATAGTCCAAGTAAAGACAAGCAGTCAGACACCAACGGGTTTCGAACCCGTCTTTACTTGGACTATTTTCTGTACCTTTGTCTACCCTTGGCGTTGAAATATCACTTTCTGTTAATATTGCTATTTCAGTTACAACGCCTGCTTCCACCCCCCTACACGTTTACACCCATTTAAAAAAAGGAAGCTACTATTTGTCTGTGCCATCGTCTCGGTATTTGTGTGTGTGTCGTTTGTATGGTCGAACAATGGTCCTTGTTGTGTTTATGAAAGCTAGCGGTCTGACCTTTCGGGTCAAGGGTCAAAGCCGCCCCGCGTCTACCTGCACAAGCTAAGAGAGTGGTCTGCCACGAAAGCCTTATTTTTGTAGGGCTGAGTGGTAGAAGCGGTTACACGTCTGACTTGATGCATGGAAGGCGATGGCGATAGGTGCCGTGTGGAATGGTAGGTTCGAAACCCGTTGGTGTCTGACTGCTTGTCTTTACTTGGACTATTTTCTGTACCTTTGTCTACCCTTGGCGTTGAAATATCACTTTCTGTTAATATTGCTATTTCAGTTACAACGCCTGCTTCCACCCCCCTACACGTTTACACCCATTTAAAAAAAGGAAGCTACTATTTGTCTGTGCCATCGTCTCGGTATTTGTGTGTGTGTCGTTTGTATGGTCGAACAATGGTCCTTGTTGTGTTTATGAAAGCTAGCGGTCTGACCTTTCGGGTCAAGGGTCAAAGCCGCCCGCGTCTACCTGCACAAGCTAAGAGAGTGGTCTGCCACGAAAGCCTTATTTTTGTAGGGCTGAGTGGTAGAAGCGGTTACACGTCTGACTTGATGCATGGAAGGCGATGGCGATAGGTGCCGTGTGGAATGGTAGGTTCGAAACCCGTTGGTGTCTGACTGCTTGTCTTTACTTGGACTATTTTCTGTACCTTTGTCTACCCTTGGCGTTGAAATATCACTTTCTGTTAATATTGCTATTTCAGTTACAACGCCTGCTTCCACCCCCCTACACCTATGTCTGCAACACGGCGAGTAATTGTATTTGCACACAAAGCTACATTTTCAAATACTTTTGAATTTTCTGTGCTAAGCTCTTCAGCCACCTCCAACAAACATTTATTCAGTGGACAAAAAGATCGTCGCGGGCCGGATAAATATGCGGCCCCGCGGGCCGTAGTTTGGAGACCCCTGATTTAGATGATAGAGTGCGCTTGGGTTAGTAGTGACAGGATGCAGAGGCGTATCAGACTCAAACCTGGGATCTGAACTGAGTTTCTTCCAGGCAAGTCTCCGGGGTTGCACCCCCCCCCCCTTCCCCACGAAACGGAATTTAAATAGAAAGTGTAAACTTTTAAAAATTGTCCACCCCCACCCCCAGGAAATCGTAGTCTCCCCCACCCCCCCCCCCCCCCCCCCCCCGGAGAAAAAAGTCTGGAAGAAACACTGGGTCCGAACTCACTGCTTTCGAGTCAGCAGTCGTGAATTCTACGTACGAAATCAGAGATTGCTATTAATCGTCGAAGTATGGTTGCTGTTTTCAAAAGGCCTCTACAGAAATTAGCATGAAACGCCTAAAGCTTGAATTCAAGTCTAATGCACGTTTTATGTATTTAACATAGTTTTAATGAAAAAAAAAACTTTCAATTTTAGATCCGCAGAAATGCTTGCAGCATTGTGTTACGTGCTGGTCGGGTTGTCAACGATTGCGGACTCCGCCACCCTGATAGTAGATACACCCTTGGGGAAGATCCGGGGATTGGAGGTGACAGCCAACAACAGCAAGACCTACTGGTCCTTCCGTGGAATTCCCTACGCCAAACCTCCGCTTGGAGACCTTCGCTTCGCTAAACCCGAGGCTTTGCCATACCAAGGTTTCTTTTTGTTGTAGTATAGAACTTTCTTAGTAGTGAGAATGCTTTCAAAATGTATATGAAATACAGATATTTAAAAAAATATTAGCTCTATGTCAGATTTGAAAACAAAACAAACGCTAGTTGAAACAAAATTAATAAATTGACCATAAGCATTAAAAAAATCTTTTAACAGCGATCATCTATCTTAGGCATATGGCAAAAACATCATCATTGTGTAATGTTGGTACTAATAAAAGTTTAGATTTGGTATTATTTAAAAAATTAGTGTTTTGTATAATTTTTTTAAATTGTCAAAAAGGAAAAATGTATTCCACAAGAACAATGAAAGAATTAATAAATAAATTTAGACTCTTTAGCCTAGACTTTAGGACATGTTAGAATACATTAGTATTTGGATTTTATGATTTCTGATCTTATTAGGCGGAGTTATTGACGGTACAGCCTTTGGGAAATCTTGCATCCAATCCCCTTTTCTGTTGCTTCCAAACGCGGTCACGTCAGAGGACTGTCTCATCCTTAACGTATACACCAAAGATGTGGACTTGAACAACACCAAGAAGGTCCTCGTCTGGATACATGGAGGAAGTTTCTTGTTCGGCTCATCCCAAATTTTCGACGCAGGCTCTCTCGTCACAGATCATGACGTCATTGTCGTAACACTCAACTACCGGTTGGGGCTTCTGGGATTTTTCAGCACGGAAGACGACGCCAGTCCTGGGAATAACGGGCTGTGGGATCAGGCCCTGGCAATCAAATGGGTCAAGTTTAACATCGGAGCTTTCGGCGGTGACCCAGATGATATCACGATCTCAGGTGAATCGGCAGGAGGTGGGTCTGTTTCCCTGCTGTCCCTCAGCCCAGTGACGAAAGGTTTGTTCACCAAAGCCTACTCCCAGAGTGGAGCTGCGAATTCTTTGTTCGCGAAATACAGCAACCCAAGATCCGCGGCCCTGGAAATCGCTAAATCGTTTAATTGCTCAGATGGTCACGAGATTAAAGGGAACACAACTGCCTCCAAGTTGATAATAGATTGCCTCCGCACAATACCGGCCGATGCTTTTGTCCCAGTCAATTATTTCGACGGAGATCGTACAACAGTGACTCCGAGAGCAGACGGTGAATTCCTGCCAAGACTCCTGAAAGATACACTTTACCTGGAACAGATTGGCTTCTACAACAGGACCTACCTTGTCGGTCTCAACAACAACGAAAAAACTTTTGCAGATCCATTCTACCACGGAACGAAGCAAGCAATCTTTGCCAATAATCTTCTGAGTGATTCGGAGAAAGAAACACTTTGGCAAGACTTTCGAAAGAAAACGTACTCAACCAGCGTCTCGGATAGTTTAGAACTCGGAACCCTTCCAAATCAGGTCTTGCAGACCGTGATTGACTGGTATGAAGAGAGAAACGTTGGCGACTCGGCAGTGCCTGTGATGGTGACTGACCTTCAGTTCTACATCCCGACCTTCCAGGTCTTGAACGCCATCGCTAGGAGCAAGACAACGGACGCGTGGCTGCTATATTTTAACTACTACCCCCACTACATGAGGGGGGACGCCAGGGGGATGGCGCACGGCCTGGACCTCCCCTACTTGTTTGACGTGTCATTAGACCTGATCAAAGACCTGTTCATCCCCGGGGTCACGGGTGACTATGATGACCAGGATATCAGTGTCAAGGAGAGGTTTTTGGCCATCGTTGCAAGCTTTGTAAAAACTGGGTAAGTGGCTTTTTATCCTCATTTGTTCAATTGTATTTTAGACCTTTTTTTTAAGGAATGGGTTAACACGAATTTGTATCTATTTTTTTCAAAGAAACTTTAACATAGTATTGATTTGGACCTTTCAAAGAAACTTTAACATAGTATTGATTTGGACCTTTCAAAGAAACTTTAACATAGTATTGATTTGGACCTTTTACAGAAACCCAAGTCTGGCCTTACGTGACATCATCCCCACTGGATGGCCGACCTATGACCTTCTCGATGCTCAGTATCTGGACTTCAACCAGAGCCCAACAGTGCAGACACATCTAATGAGAGAACAACGGGAACTCTGGGAAAAAACGGTCGCCTCACTTGTAGCCAGATCACAACATGGCACTCCTAATCACAGCGATCCTTGCAGTTAATGTTAACTTTGTTATTTTAATGCAAATGCTTTAAATTCTATAAATATTTATAGCGCTTTGTTTGAGTTATATATTATTTGAATGGCACATACGATTTAACTAGAGAATAAATTAAAGAGTACTCTGTAGAATCAATAATTTTTGTACGAATTGAAATCAGTCAGTTTTCTTATAAAATGGATGTATCTAGACTGCTAGAAGCCATTGTATGTAATTTTTACAATCAAAGTAAATTAAAAATTAAAGCAAGCTATTTAAAAAGTCTGTAAGCTGCATCGCATAGTTTCTTACAGTGGGTGATTTATTTTATACTTATTTCAATCATGCTTTTAAATAAACAGTTTTCATCATCAGATAAGTTGTTAATTTTTTCTTTGTAGCTGTCTATACAATAGTGCAATTGTTCTTAACCAGGTTTCGATCCAATCCAAGGGGTTCGGTGAGTCACTCAGTGGTTCGGCGAAGGTCAAGGGCAGAGTTTCTTCTATGCATCTCTTGGGTAGGTAGGAGAAGCATCCGCCCCCCCCCCCCCGAAGATAATATACCGTCGTCGTCGCCCCCCCCCCCCCCCACCTCCCGAGCGAAATGGAATTTATATGTAAATCATATACTTTTAACAGTGTCCGCCCCCAAAAATATTAGTCCGCCCCACCGAAAATTGCAAGTGCCCCCCCCCCCAGAAAAAATCTGGAAGAAACACTGGTCAAGAGGCAAACCCGACTCAAGATCGGATTTTGTCATGGCGGACGACAGAGCTTTATTAGAAGAATTAATGCACATAATAAAACTGGTGTGGTTCAGTACCCCCAGAAAGGTTAAGAAACAATGCTATAGTAAATAGTAGATACGATTTATATTTTTTTTCATAGGAAATATGACAGCTGTATGTGTACACATAGTTTTTAGCTAATAACTAAGGTGGCATGTGTAAGGAACTTAAGAAATCAGTGTCAATTTTTGAAAATACACCGTAGTGTTCTAAATCTGCCAAATCATCATGGCTGAAAACTTTGTGGCCACATCTTTCATCATTATTACACAAGACACCAAGTTTCATAACACTTTCACCAAGCCTTTAATATGAAAAATTTTAAGCCTTGGTGTGAAGTGCATTAAAAACTAACGTGCCTGTTCCCGCGCGTTGCCGCGGTCTATGAAGAAAATTTAATGTAATATTTTAAGATGGTTTCATCATTGCGTGTGACCTCGTTTCGTAACACTGAACTATTAAAATGTAAACAATGCCTGCGCTATATTTCTTGATTCGTATTTATTTGGGCACATGTTTGCCCACACTTTCGCCTAGCACGCCCTGGTGTTCTGTATGACAGCCTTGAGCTAATTAAATTCCGTAATAGTGAGACAGAACACTCTTCTGAAACCCCCCCAGGTAACAGGAACGTTAAGGGGCGCTCTCTGTAGCTCCCGGGTACACTACTGCAGGGTTGCCGTGTAAGGCCCCTGGTTCGGTTTCGTCATCAAATGTCTCGTGCCACAGTCAATGTAGTAGGGTGCTCTTTAAAACGAAAGTAGGCGCCATAGTGCTCACAGGATAGCCCAGGGCACCAACTCGCACCCTGCCGGGGAACCGGTGAACGCGCCTGATTCAATTTAGTGAACGATTGATAAACGGTATCAAACTGCAATCGACTATTAATTTTATGTACCATATTTATAT